AAATTTGCTGCAATGTTACAAATGCAACCTTCAATTACTAATATCGCCATAATAGTTTACCAATATAACAAATGCAAGATAAATTGATAGTATTGCAGCAATNAGTCTGCAATATTACAAATGCAAGCTTTATTTGGCAATATTGCTACAGACATTCTGAAATGTTACAAATAGAAGCTCAAACTAGGAAGATTCCTGCACTGTTTGTGCAATGTTGGAAAAGAAATTGCAATATTGCAATGTTGCAGAAAGGTTACAACAATATTCGGTGCTGTAAGGGAACCGTAAGCAATTCAATCAATTACAGACCAGTATTATCTCACATTAGCTAGAACGCTGGCCTGTGATTGGTCGATTTGCTTACGACCTTATGACTACGGCTAAAATTTTGTCACGTGCAATGGCCTTAAGTTTGCATACAAATTTCAGCAATAGTACAGGATTGTAGTATTACGTAGCTATACATTTGTGATATTGCGATAATATTGCTGCAATATATAGTGTGGGCGAAAATTAATCACAATAGTATTACTTCAATGTCGCTTTGATATTGCTGAAATATTGCAGTGACATTTCTAACGTATTACTGCAACAGTACTGTGATATTGCTGAAGTATCTGTGACATTTTTGACATATTACTGCAATGTTGTAGAAATATTACTGTGATATCATTGAAATATTATTGTGATATTGGTGAGATATTGCAGAAATATNGCTGTGATGGATTTTCGCGGACATAATATATTGCAACAATATTAATGCAATATTATTGCAATATTACTAAGTAATATTACTGCAATATTGCAATATTACTGCATTATTGCAGCAATATTATGTGCTGTGTGGGTATATCTATGCCATCTGGGCTGCGTTCAGAAATTCACTCGTCGGGTAGAGTAGAGTTGAACGTGGTAAAACATAAAACTCTACTCAGAGTAGCATTTAGGAATTGACTTTCCGAACGAAGAATAGAGTAAATAACAATGGCAGATCAGAATCGGAAAAATCAGATATTTTTGATAGTAACACTTGTAATATGTAATCATAAATTACTACTAATTCTTATTCATGCATGTAGTAACTTCTTAAATTTAAAAATAACAAAAGTAGTGTGAACATAATCTAACCTAAGATTCAAACAAAATAAAAATATTTACTTACCAAATTGATCGGTTAATACAATAATATCTTTTTCTATTAAAAACTCTCCGTTAGCCAAACGGTAAGGAACGTGACGTCCCGCAATTGGCTCGACACATGCAACAGTTTTAATGTTTTCCATTATAATCTGTTTTTATTGCTTCGTCACTTTGCGCCAAAATAGGCTGCGTTCCGATATTCATTACCAGAACTCGAAATCTATAACACATGTGATGTGAAATATACATTTTTAATACTGGGAGTGATAATCGGAACGCAACCATAGTACGGGTTATTTATTAACCACAGAAAATCCAAAGGTTAAAAAAATACTCTTAGAGTTAACTCTAATGTGATTACTCGATATTTTCGAACGCCACTAGTGTGTTAATTTTGGCTAACCCAAGTTAATTTCTGAACGGCAG